ACCCCCACCCCCGCACCTCCACCTGCCTGAGCCTTGTGGGCAAGACGATACGCCCGAGAAATGAATGAGGCCTCTTCAACCTCAGAGAACATAAACATTAACAKTTTAACTCTGAAAGACAGAAACACTTTCCATCATCATCTCTAGAGACTTGGTGCACCACAGAGAAAACTCCCGTGTTTTAGGCTGCAGGTTTTCACAGAAGTTCACAATAAGTCCTGTAAATAAAGCAGCCATTCTTAAGTTTGAGTACTTTAGTAGACATTAATAAGACGAAATAGTTTCTGAGCCAGTCTTACAGAAATCAGCCCCCTAAATAAACACATAGACACGCTWACCTGCTAATAAATGTATAAAAGGCTGAAACAGACCTCCAAGGTAAAGGAATATGTGCTAACAAGACAACATAAGCTAAACTACGTAATTAAGAAAATTAAATTTTACTTGATTATTACAAAAAACATGATTTATATACACTCTGACTCACTTCTCTTGGAGGCCAGTTAAAAAAGCCTGCAAACTTCCAAAGGGTGGAGGAAATGGTTTTTATGGGAGCTGGAGACAGATGTTATTTCATGCGGTGTCGGCAGCTGGCTGGCCTGGCACCAAGGAGTTCCAATGAAAGGTGTAGATTTGTAGCTTCACAACTTCATGTTCCTCTCACACATTTTTTTCATCTCTTCCTGCCAGCAACAGGTAATAACTGTCTGACCACCAAGATAAAATAATAATTTAGGAATTCAATTAATTCTGTACACAGACACCAGAAATCTTTTCTCATGTCCAAACATGAATTTAACTTTAAAAAATTGCACTTTTTTCCTTGTTTTTTTAAATGAAACTATTACCCTCCTTCATAAAGGATGAGTTTGTAGAAGATAATCACATCTAGAGGCTCATAAATAAAACTTGTGTAATTCAAATCCATCAATGTTATAAAATGAAAATTCAGTCATTATGTAACATTGCTTACATGACATGATACATTAAGTGTGATATCTTTTTGTTTTTAGAGTTTCTCCTCTCCAGAAGTCAGAAGTGGTTGAGATGGTAAAGAAACAAGTGAAGATGATCACGCTGGCCATCGGTGACGGTGCTAACGACGTAGGGATGATCCAGACGGCTCACGTCGGAGTGGGAATCTCAGGCAACGAGGGTTTGCAGGCAGCGAACTCCTCTGACTACTCTATTGCTCAGGTGAGCGTGGCGGCAGAGACACATGGTGAAGAAAGCGGGGAAGCAAAGAGACACTGCAAAAACCAGATTATTATTTTAATTAGGGATGCACCGATATGAAAATTTCAGCCGATATCGATATCCGATGTTATTATTATTGGTGTTATGGCCGATAACCGATATTTACCGATATTACACAAACACATAAATTATTTATATACGCACAAACACACTTGGGTCTTTTTTTGATACCATAAATAAACGACCAGACCTCTGACATGGCTTTCTACTTCAATTATTCCTGGCTGTGCAGCATCAGTATCACTATCACCATCAAACAGATACCACCCGACCAAACATTTYGCCTGCCAAAACAGAAACAAAAAGCTAAAAAATGGAAAATCARTATCGGATATTCATATCATGCCGATACCGATACTCYAAAAAATGACCAATTTCGGCCCATGTGAAAAGGGGGAGTTGCATAAATTATTGGGGTTTAGGYTTATATAACTGATTTAAATTACAYACACATGGTATAGTTTTATGATAGAACTGTAATGATTGTTAATTGTGACCRTTTTGYTTAACTTGATGATTTTTAWATTRAATAGCTATATGCCTGAAAWYAAATTCAACACATAACTGAACTTTTAAATCCTCATTAGGGTAGAGTTTTAATGTCTGAGGGGCRTGGCTTCRAGAAGTTTAGGGACTCCCCTTGCTGATGACGTAATCAAATAGGCGGAGCCACGCCTCTGAGCTTTTGTTAAAACTAATGGGACTTCCTCATTTTCGGCCTGAACTCTCGGTCACTTGATTAAACCAGACTTCAGCAAGAAAGCTCTTGGTTTTGTCCTCTTTAATAATCTTTTCCATGCATTTGTACATTCTCCTTATGGTTAAGCACACAGCCGGTAAACRAACACGATTAACTACATTTTTCTTTCAGTCCGATGCCTATATATTGTGCATAAGAACAAGAATAAGTTGACTTTGAAGCTGCATGTGCCTTCCTTGGTTTGTCAACACTGTCACTATTTACCATCCCTGTCCCTGCCTTCTCATGTAATCTGTGTAAGTGATAGGTTTCCACATTGTTCCAAGCGACAATGGGTCATAAGTCTGAAAGGGCTTCAGCTTATAAAGTGAAGTACTAACAGCTGTAAAACAAGCGTCTGGTGACACCCGATTCCCAACATAACTCTGCAGAAACAGTTTCTGGCTAAACACTACTTAAAAACACACTCACATCCTGGTTACCAGTTTGTTTGAAATCCTGCATCGAAATGGGATACGTGTTAACGACAAAAGCCATTGAGTTTCTGTGTCATGGCTTCGTTAAGGAGAGTAGTGCTCGGTGCATCGTGTTTCTGTTAAAGCCGAAGGGCTTTAGAGTATGGGAACGCAGCAGTCCGCTTTCTGCACTTCAGTGTACAATTACTATTCAAGACAACTGAAAGCATCTGAAGTGCGTCCTTTAGTCCACGTGACCTCTAGAGTGAGTTTGTCCTTCAATGCGAGGTGGTCTCATAACGTCTCTCAGTTSGGTCCCTGTTTCAAATTAAATTTCACCTCCAGCCTTCCACTGGTATTTTACTGTTACAGTACATTAACTGTAATTTGCCGACTGCAAACCCAAATCAATCTTGGGTAATTGCATAACTTGTTTTTTCTATCCCTGTGCATGAATTATGATAATGTTCCAGAGCATCAGATGTTCCTCTGGCCTGCTACAGATCACAGCACTAGGCAGCTTGTTTCCACAAGGTTCTAGTCGAGAACTCAGAGTTATCTGTCTAAGTAAGTGTAGCGTTAAGAGGTTTTGGGTCGAGGCACCTCTGCTGTCCGTCTGTCATCAGCTCGGCTCTGTTTCGAACCGATGTTTGATCCAGCGAGGGAGGTCGCACAAACCGAGGCCCACCTCTGAGCTTTAAGTTCAACAAAGAGTTTTCCGATGATGCTGAAAGATGAGCACRCCCTAAAACAAACAAATGCATGTTACTCAAAAACAAATTAAGTAAAACTGTTCTCTACCTACCCTTCCACCACTTTTTTCGTATTCCGTGTCCAGCCTAAATTTATTGCYGAACACTTTTTTGTTGTTAGTTATTTCTACATCACAACAACCAATGCAAAGAGACAGGAATGTACTGTATCCATGTGAAAAACTCATTGTAAGGTTCAGATTATCGAAGTAACAGTGATTTCTGGTAGTTCACAGTCAGATTTAAGTGTGTATTCTTTGTTAATTTGTAAGAACACTTAAAGTTTAGCTCAGTGTTATCACACACACCCACAATAACAATAATAAAAATTATTATTATTATAATAATCTGAAGCATGTAATTTCTATGCTCAGCCTTTGGGGACCTGTACCCCCATACAAACCTCCTCTAATTGCAGCAGCTTAAAGCTCARCCTTTTATCCTGTAACCGGACCTTTCTGGAATGTGTTTGGCCAAAGTGCCTCATCAGTCCTTTTAGGATTCTGTTGAAAAATGACAAAATACTTTCTTTAATCTTGAAGTCCTTCAAGTTGTTTTAGAGTTCCAGGCACGATGTGTAATTATGAGAAACCATTAAACTTTAGTATACTCAGCCTTCCGCTCTTCATCCATCACTTCCTCCCTCCGTCACAGTTCAAATACTTGAAGAATCTGCTGCTTGTCCACGGAGCCTGGAACTACAATCGTGTCGCCAAGTGCATCCTGTACTGTTTCTACAAGAACATTGTTCTCTACATTATTGAGGTAAGTTCTACACAGTGTCTTTGAATACAATAAACCAAAATAAAAAACACTTTTTTTTAAACCAAAATCAGTTTTTTCTGTTATGTAAAGTTATTCCAACTCTTTCAAATGAAACAAACCGAGTTCAGCTTTAATGATTTATGAAAGTTGAGCTCATCCCTGTGAGAATCTGCTGTTCATCCAGTCTCACAACCCAGCTGTCAGCCAATGAGGTTTCTGTAGTTTTGCACATGTTAATCCCAGCACGTTTGTTGGTGTATGGTGGGCTTGATGTTCCCTGACAGGAAGCAGAGCTGACACAGATAGCTGCTTCAGAGGTTTCACCAGGAATGACCCGACAGGCTAAGTACTTCCTATCAGCAGCAGCTTTATCACTGCCAGTGCTCGGATGTTTTCGTCTGTTTACTGATTTCTTTCAAGAAAGTGGCAACCTTGAGTCTTTTTGTCACCTGGGAAATTTAAACTCGGTCACTGCTAAGGTTTGTCACACTTTGTGTCCACCAACATAAAAGAACCTTTGCAACAAACCAGGATTTGGGGCGTAGGATGATAATTATGAAATATTTTGTTGGAGAAACAGCCGTACTACAAAATTAAACAAAATTATCATCAGAACAATATGTACTCCTCTTTGCATGTTTGCAACCAGAACAAAACCTTTTGGTTGCTTAGATCTAATCAATGAAAGAAATAATCCTAAGCTTTTCTCTGGTTTTTTTWAATTCTCCACACTTCATAAATAAAACATATTTGATCAAAAGAACAAAAAGAAAAGACATGATTTACACTTTGTCTTCTTTTCATAAGCAAAGCCAGTGGCAATCAGCATAATCTGCTCCTGAAATATGAGTCCTGTAACATTGTCTTCTGTTCATCTGTTTCTGGGACATTTGACCTCTGCTGCCTTTTTTAAAAATCTTCATTCTTGTTTATGTGCCGTGAAAAATCAGCTGGCTATCTGCAGCATTCCAGTCTGTCTGCTTTGTGCTCATCGTGACACAAGTAAAAGAGGGTTGTTGTTTATTACTTATTAATTATTACTACTACCAGGCTGAAACTACACCTATGCCCATTACATCCTGCTGCTCTTTTTCCAGATCACGTTAAATACAAGTTACACACAGAAAGATAGAGTAAAACTTTATTTTCAGAAGTCAAAACCAAAACATTAATTTTTTTTGTTTGCATAAAGATAAATTAGTTCTGTTTGTCTCTGCGTTTTCCAAAGTGTTCGTAGTGCTTCATTCACATTTTAATGTTTGGATAAAAAAGGATCACCACTCTTCTAAACATAAACATTTCATATGGTTAATAAAAAAAAACTCAGTTAATCTTATTTTTGCTCTTTGCCTTTCATGAGTTTTGAATTCACCTCAGCTGAATATAATCAAATCAAAACCTGTGCAGGTTTTTTTTTGTGTCCAAATGCAGCTGCTCTTTCAAACTCACCGGCTCTCATCAAAGCTCTTTTAGAAAAAAACTGGAACATAACATCTATAGTTCCAGCACACCTTTTGTTGCCATCTAAAAGCACAAGTCCCCTCCCCTCATGCTGTGCTCCTTGAGACTGAAGTAGATAAAAGGACATTTCATCACTGTTTCACCGCCTGTGCCCGTTGTGTAAGACCCTGACATATAACACACTGGCAGCCTCGGGGTTTGAGTAAAAGCTGCGTTTGTTGCCCTAATAGGTTTACGTTTGAGCTCTCCTGCTTTTTTTTTYYTTTTTTTTGACTTTCAGGCTAACTTACATTGAGAGAATTGGGGATGTTGATGGGGAATTTTAACTTTTTGTATACAACTTCCTTGTCTGGTACAGCGAGGACTACATTTTGAATGCTGGGGCTGGAGGACTCTGTGTTTAGACCCCTTTTCATCTCACTCCTTTTCCCTTCGGTCTTTGTTCCTTATAAAACACACAGGGCTGAAGGGTTAGGGAACATTTTGCTATTGTTGAAGAATTAAATGTGAGTTCAAATTAGTTGAAAGCTCTTGGATCGTTGGATCATTTCCTGAGATTCATTAATGGTTAATTATTGATAAATGTAAGACTAGAACTTTATTCAATGATTGACAGATTGCACCACTCCATAGTTTAATGTGGTTTTCTTAGTTTTAAAGTATTTGGGCATGGTCCTACTTGAGACGTGACTTTCCTTAAAGATCAAAAACAAATAAACATGTGGCTCAATTATTTTATTGGACTTCAGGCTTAATTCAGGTTGACTTTGTTGGATTTCTAAGACTAAGGAATAGTGGTGAAAAGGACCAGATTCATTCATATTAAGGCTAAGAAATCTTTGTAAAAGAAGCCATAGCAACTAAATTCAAATGAACGATCTTTGTGATCTGGGTTGATTGACACATTGCTGGGTCCTGCATAGTGGAGTGATGGACAAGTGGCATTTATGAGGTAATTACATGAAAGCTCATTGAGTCGAGCTCTGCGTGTTTGGAGACCGCTCAAAGTAAAGGAGCGAAGCTTACCGATCAGTTTGACTGAATGAATCCAGAGAGGCCTGAGACTGGCATTGTAAGACCACCTCTCTGTGTCGCTCCACATATTTTCAGCATATTTATCGGCTTCGTCTTTATCACCTTTTATTCTTTGTTTTCTTTCTATATAAATTCTAGTAGCAACTCTACAGATCTGAACKTAAGAGTATAAGAACTCACACTGCTGGGGGGAACAAATGTCATCCCCYCCTCCCCCACCTCCCTGCAAAACATTTCTACACAACACTACACCGCTGTGGAGCAGCTCAGGGATTTTTCATTTGCTGATGAATATGCAAGTCTTCTTACCCGTTTGCCCCTGCCCAATCCTCTTTTTTTATTGTAGCTCCCACTTTTTCTCCATCGCTGTTTTCACGATGTGCAGCGAGGGAAAGAGGCCAGCCACACCCCTCCACTGAGTGGCACTCAATGAGGAGAAGAAAAGGCGAACTAAAATCCTGCCTGGTACTTCCCCTAATGAGCAAATCAATGCATCTGTCCCTCAAGAGACGGAGAGAGTAAAAAAGAAGGGAGAAGCTTTTGGGACGTCGACGACGAGGCCAAAATACTCGCACAGAAGCAGTTACCACGCTCTGTGAATAGGGGCCTTTTTTTAACTTAGCACAACAATGTATCAGCCCAAAGGCTCTTATTGAGCAGAGCTGTAATTAATTCAGAAGTTTGACCTACCCACTAGCCTCTCGTTAGCGTTGCTTGAGCCATGCTAATAGCTGAACCTGCCTCATGACTTGAGCTCCATCTATACATAGCCCATAGCAACGGCATCTGAATGCATTTTGAAACAAGCCAAGATCCAAACATCTGAGACTGCTGTGGTATTGAGTAGATGTCGTTGCATTCAGAGCAACATGGTCCCATATTCCACTGAACACCCCTGTAAAAACCAACAACCTAGCAAAGTGCACCTGATGGTGTAGGGCCTGGGATGTGTGATAGTTGGGTGTAGCTGGGTCTGGACAAACGTACAAAAAGATGGGCTGTGTCGTTCCCCCCAACACACACCATTTGTTTTAATGCATACGCCGACACATTGCAGTGGGAGAGCCCAGTGTGCAGGCTGGTTTTGGTTCCGCAGACAGTGGCAGCAGCGGCGGCGGGTGGGGCCGTGAAACAGCTTTTGTCCCCATCTGAGAATTTGTAGCAGTTCATGCCTTCATAATGATGTTAAATGAAGCGGGGAAATTCTTGGTAGGCCGTGGCCAAAGACACAGCTCCCCTTATGTTCTTTTGACAGTTTTGGCATTTGCGAAAGCCTGTTCTGGATCACAGTGCAACACTGTGAGGTGCAAATTCTGATTCATATTGCAAAAAATGTCAAGCGTTTCGGTCCGTTTTACTGAATGACACCAAAAAATTGTCTTTGCAACAACAAAAYTTTTTTAGATGGACATTGCTTCTGTTTTATGTTCAATAACTAKTTTTGTTCTGGTAAATATTATGCAYCATTTCCACACTGCAGATGGTTTACATTACCTTAACTACTCTTTCTTAGCATAAAACCATTCTAAGTCTCTCTTACTCAGATTTCCTAAGTGWCTTTGGCCGTGCAACTAACCTCATCTGTCATTCACATCTCACTGGGTGGAGCAAGGCTTAAAGCAAAAGATATAGATTTGATTTATGTTTGGAAARTACAATGGAATTTTTTGGGATAAATACAGAACACAGTTTTCATTGTAGAGTTGGAGATCTGAGAGTCTTTGCAACTTTTTGTCATTTTGTTTATTTATTTATTTTTTTGTCACTGACCTGATTTTTGCTCCTTCTCCCACAGACTAATTGCATGTTGATTACAGGTCACCACTTCCAACTAAACTACATAAATTCAAGACCTATGACAAAAAAAACCCCACTTATTTTTGTTTAGTTTAATAGCATAAACATTCGTTATTACAAGGTGCACCACCTTAAAAGCAATTAAGAGTTAAAGCTGTTCTATTTTTGATTCATGCACATAATGTGATACTGTGATAATGTGAGTTGTGTCAACAAAAAACAGAGTGGGATGTAGTTTAAGGCTGGTAAAAATGTTTTTATCTCAAATTAAATGAACGTTATCATTTATTTGTGTCTATATTTGAAAGGACTTTTGCACTTTTAAGGCATTTTGTGGTGTTTCAGAGAGGCTGAACTGAACTGTTGATTGATATGAATGATTATGAAGTTGTTGTTTTGAGTTTAAGCTGTTATTTTGCTGCTCTGACCCTTCATGTGTGATTTTTGTCTCCCTCAGATTTGGTTTGCATTCGTCAATGGTTTCTCTGGACAGATTCTGTTTGAACGCTGGTGCATCGGTTTGTATAACGTGGTGAGTGTTAATTGCTCTCTAAACATTTCACTTTACTCTTCTACTGAGCCACCTTTTTGACAAAGAGGTAATTAGCTGTAGTACCCTAAAATTAATCTGTTTTTTGCCCCAGTATGGCATTTACATCCTGAAAATTGTCTTTGTTATTTATGACCAGATGTCAAGCCCATACTCCCTCTGTGCCCTGAGCTATGTGCTGAATGTGGAGGAACAGCTTGCACCACAGGGTGTAGTTAGCTAAACCAGCTCACTTGGATGTTCAAAAAGACTGAGAGGACTGGAGCAGCAAGTGAGCTGGCTGYTAATTTTGGGAGTCCCACAGGGCAGTATAATGGGACCACTCCTAATGAACTCATATTTCATAATTGTCATAAATTAAGCAGTCAAGGGGAAAAAAAAAAGTCCATGATGTACTGCAATGAGTTCATGTTCCAACTTTTCATTGAAAAGCACCCCAGTCTGTCAACAAAAATGAATAGAAGCAATTTATAGCTTGAACTGTCAATCCAGAAAAATACCGTCACAGCCCTGCCTCTTTTATAGGTTACATAATGAGCTACAACTCTGATAATCAGCGTTAAACTGAAACAAGAGAATAGAGTTTAGTCTTTTTTTTATATAAATAATTTTGAAAACTRGGTGAATTCCTTCAGCTCAGTGGGAGTCTGTTGGAGGCAGTGGTCTGAATCYGCCCCTTTTATAGAGATCTTCCTGGGCTTGGCTGTGAATAAGAAAGGAGCCCAATGGAGCATGTCCTGTTGGCCCATTGGTCCTGCAAACTGAGGCCTGCAGACTCCCACTCCAGATGGGTCTGTGGGGATCTCACACCAACCGGCCCCTCAGTCACACAATACCGTCGCTCCTCTCAGCAGCTGCTGTATAGAACATTACACCATCTCTAAGAAATTACACTTAAATACTAGCTTCTTGGTCCAGAACAATCCAGATGTTCATTGGGCAAAGGTTTTACATATGAACAGGCTGAGAGCATGGCGAATCAAAATAAGAAACCCCAAAAGATTTAAGGTCAGTGGTCTACAATAACTAAACTTAAGTGTGCTGCAAGGAGAGAATAAAGTGCAACTAAAAGATAAACACATGGAGGTGATGGTGAAGACACAAGACAGGCACCAGCTGTTAGTCTTAAACAAAYCAAAGATTGTTTTTTTGTGTTGTCTCTGATTTTAAATAAGAACCTTTGTAGCAATGTCTAAAATTGTCAGATTGAATTGCTGTGTTTTGTTTTTTCTTGGATGTAGCTCTTCACTGCTTTACCGCCTCTCACTTTGGGAATATTTGAGCGCTCCTGTAGGAAAGAAAACATGCTGAAGTACCCAGAACTCTACAAAACCTCCCAGAATGCAATGGGTTTTAATACCAAGGTATTTGTATACTTTCTSAATTTTCTTATCTCTTCATAAAATCCCATCAAAATATTGTTGCTTTTGTTTTACGGGTTCATTTTTCATTTTTCTCTGCAACATGACTTAGTTTTAGTGAATTATCATCATATATAGCACAGTGTTGCTCCATAGTACTTTGTAAATTTATACAACTTAACCAGTAAAATATATTCATTTTAAATTATTTTACTTTGTGCTAGCAAACATTCGGAATATTTAATGAATGAAAAAGTYAAAAGCTAACTTTATAACCAAGCTAACTTTACAAAATGACAGGAGAAGTTTCTTTTGTTGCCATGACCTGGCAGCTGCAGTTAGGGTCTCCTCTCTTGGTCTGGCTTGGCCTGATCAGGTCTAGTCTGGTTGCGCGTGTGTGTGTGTGTTTGTGTGTGTGTGTGTGTGTGTGTGTGTTTGTGTGTGTGTGTGTGTGTGTGTGTCCGTTAGCTTTCCCCCGCTGGTAATAAAGTCGTCTCCTCCTTTCTCCTCGCTGAGCCACAGACTCCAGAACCCGTCTCACAGGCGTGGTGACCTGGTTCGAACCACTTGGAGGTGGATTAAAGGCGGATTGGCCATGGTGGTCAGGGGCAGGGAAGGTCAGATGGGTTTGGGGTTGCAGCAGAAAGAAGGAGCAGGAAGGGAATGAAGAGCGTGCTGTCATTTTGTGACAGAATTTGTTGCGGAAAATTGGAACAATTTGTTTAAGGAAGGGAGTCGTTTGTTCTGAGGCTAAGGCTATCAGATCACATTTAGCCCCGGCGGGATCGGACAGCATGCTTCACCCCCTAGCTTCTTTCTGCACCTATTTAAGGAACAAGTTGCAAGGCAAATCTTTCAGATTTCTAAAGAAACAAGTCTTTAAATAAATGTCAATAATGTGAATAAAAACATTGTTATCAGTGTTTTGTAGATTTATAGATAGGCCACCCCCACAAAAAAAGAGTTTTAAGTAATAAAGCATACTGCACAAACACTTCAAAGTTTTTTGAAGATATAGAGCTACAATATTTTTATTCTATTTACATTGTTATTGTATAAAATAAAGCCGTATTACCAAACTGCCTGTAWTTTTATGATTCCTGCCATAAGAAGGATTTTTCCTACATTAAAATTTTAGATTATTTCATTAAATTTTAGTTGTTTTTTTTTTCTGTCACACAAGGATCACAGAGTTCTGATAGTTGGAAGCACCTGAACCTCAGTTTTGTTTGGGACACTGTTTCCAAGAGCCATAAATGATGACTCGGGCAGGTCAGCATGTTGTTTTTGCTGGCCTGTCCGCTCTTTTCACGAGTTATTTTCCTTGCAGCTGGCCCGAGGCGAGGCGAGAAAATCCAGCAGGAATTTGGCCCCTTGAAACCTGTCTTTCTGCAGCCCCCGGCCCTTTTGTATACAACAGATACTGTCTTTGTGAATTAAAGCTGTTTGTGTTGAGGTACAAGCAAGGGAGAGGCCCGGGGGTGTACTCTAGGCAGGGGGTTCAGCTTTATCTCTCATTCACTTTTAATTACATATTCAGCACACTTTAGTCACTATAATAAACACTCCACTTATTCAGCCTTAATAATAACTGCAGCTTAACTATCACCTCCTGTGCAGCGCTATTTTCTAAGCCTTTTTTCCCCCCTCATTTTACCTCACTCGTTCAAAAAGAAATGGAAAGGAGACGGCAGCTCTGGAAATATTTGGCTCCATATTAATTACTGGCTTTCATGTCTTTTGCTATTTTTGGCAATTATAACTTTCACAAAGGGCCAAATCTTCCCCGGACAGACCAGGCATTCATTCAGAGTGGATGCTACGCCACTTGTAGGGGAAACGAGAAAAAGAGATTCCCAGGTGGGTCGGAGGGCTGAGAGAAAAGATCCCACTGTCACAAATTATTAGAACCTTTCTTTTAATTTCATTAGCATTCATTAAAGTAGAGAGGAAACTGCGACCCCCTGCAGTGTTTAGGATAAAAGCTGACAGAGCTGAGCTCATCAGCGGGACACTAATTGGCATAAATGTGATTGTTACATTTTTAATACATGTTTGACCACAGAGTAGAGGAATGGGGGTTTACGTTTTTTTTAGGGCCTTGCTTTGTGTATAGGAGTTTGWGTACACAACGAGAGAGTGAGGTAATCCATGGTGGGAGTGGCTGCCATGGGACTTTGTTTAGTTGGCAGGAAAGGTGATGAGGTTGTGCCACTGAGGTCAAAGTATATAAAAAATAAACTCTTTTTATTTTTTTCCCTGTCATTTATTACTAAGCTTTTTATTGTATTTTACTCTGCTTTCCTTTTAGTTCCACATCCTTCCCTGGCAGAATATTTGGAATAACTGAATAACATAAAGCATTGGCGTTACAAGTTATTTGATTATAAGTCAAAACAAAAATCGTGTGAAACTCGCATTTTTCAGTGTAAGTGAGCGTCCAACTTGGCACCGGCCGACAACCGTTTTTCTTTCGCCTCCGCCGCCATCAGCAGTTTACGTTCTGGCCTTGACATCTTTACATCCCRCAGAACTACCACCGCAGTCTGGGTCAGAACAAGTAGTGGGGAGGAAGAGGGCACAAGTGTGGAGCGGTTTTTTTTTTGTTTTTTTTTTTGGCCAAACAGATTTCACGGCTGTTTCATGGTACATTGCCCATTAGTGTTTTATTTGGCTCCGGCGTTTAATAAAATAAGTTTGAAACACGGTGGGGGGTTTTTTGGAGTTGGGAGTATTGATTTAAACWACTCATCCAAAGGGTGTGGGTTTGCTCAGACAGACACTCAAAGAGGATTTTCCAGACTCCTAATAATTACCATCAAATGTGTTTTAATCTCTGTCAGGTCCACCCATCTTCATGTGTGTTATTAGACCAGGTTTTGCTTATTTAAACTTTCCTGTCATTTATTACTGCACCACCTTAAATTCTTTTAGGGGAAAAAAAACCAAAGCTTAATTAAATGTAAAGAGCAGAAACCCTCCTCCTGTAGCACAAAGGTTAATGTTTAATAATCTTACAGTCTGCTCAAGTATTTGACTTCCCAGTTTTTTCTGTGTTCAAATAAAATCTTTTRAAAAGTAAAACCTAAGCTAAGATTTAGTCTCCTTGCTTTTCACTGCTAATACACATACTGGGCAGGCTCTCTCCCCCTCCATAATACCCACTGAGGATATACAACATGTCTGTCAGCGGGGTGGCCATTGAACGAGGAGGCCCCGACAAAACCGCCACTTAGCCCAGCGCTGGGCTGGCACAAAGGGCCCAGGTCAGGGGTCACCTGGAAAGCTGGAGCTCCCCACACCCTTTTCACATGCTTTTTTTATGTTTTTTTCTTCTTCTCACTTTGTCTTTCCCTCTCACTC